GGGGGGTGTTGCTTGTTCAAAGCCCTCTGAACTGTGTGGTTATGCTACCAGGGAGGCCCAAATATGAGTGTTTCCCCCCCCCTCCCCCAGCCCAGTGGCAGACACGCTGCTGTAATTGGCAGGCCGCCCTCAGCAGGCATACCCAGCTTGCTGAGCAGGCTGCACGTTGTCCCTTACACCAGCCTTTCTGTGACAGACAAGCCTGCAAGGTAAAAACCCACACCTGTTCTATGGCAGGTGGGAACTGCCTAGCAGGATAAGCACTGTGATACTTTGCTTCAGTACAGTGCAAAGGAGGAAGAGGGCTAACAAACGGGCTTGGGGGAGCCGCCTTTGACAAAAGCTGCCAGGAAAGGGCTGGACTCTCAGTTCCTGGCTAAACCTGGGATGTTTATCTTTTGCAGACAGTTGGCCACACTGTGATGGTGGACATCAGTGAAACAGTGAGGTACTGAAGAGGACAGGCAGCAACCAGGTTAGGAATGATCTGTGAAAGAGATCACCTTTAGATTTGATAAAGAGTGCATATGTATACATGTGCACGCGCACACACATGCAGTTTTGCCTGGCATACAAGGGACACAGCCTGTTCCTCTGGACAGCTTCTGTGCTTGTGTAATGGCAGGGACACACCTACACTGTTCGGTATATGTTAAAGGGACATGTTGCTGCTGTCATTATGGTATGCCTCCCCAAGTCTGTGTAGGCTTTTGTACAGCTGAAGTTACTTTGTTACCTGGATTTCAAGCATACGGAAAGAAAACAAAAGAAAAAGATCTGTATTTTTTTTAAGGAGTCTCAGTTCCTTCAGGAGTGAGTCTTCTCCATGTGTTCTCTGAAAACAGAGTAAGCATTTCCTTGGTTTAGTGGCAAGCTGGCTATCAGCTGTATGCCTGCATGGTGATGCTTAAGCTACATCTACAGTGCTAAATGTATTCATGACTTTAAGAGTGATTCATGCTCCCAGGCAAGTAGTGCAGTGGGTATCCCCCAGTTCTTAGGAGCAGCACCCTCTGAAGTGAATGGATACAATTATACTGATTGCCTAACAAACACTTGGCCTGTTGCTGCTCGATCCTTGTGATGATTTTTAAGATATCATTTTTCTTATATACTGTGTGGGTATGTGTGTGTGGTCTAGCCTGCCAGTTACGATTTTTAATCATACCACACTGAGTGCATGCCTTGCATGACCTAAGGGTAAGCGGAGGACACTCAAGAGCACAAAGCCTCCCAGGATGGTTTGCATGCTTGCACAGTGTACCAAGTCGGGTCTGGTCTTACCCTGCTGTCTACTGTGAATGGGCCCCAAAGTCAATTATGTCCAGAAGTGCGCCTGGGCTCATCGCTCAGAGAATTAGCTGGCTTACGGCAAAGGAGAACCCCCAAATTAACAGGCATGCAAAATGGACGCTCAGGGAAGAACTGGAGAACAATTTGGGGGGTTAAATAACAATGTAGATTTATGCTTAAAGAGCAACATACTTAAACGTGTTTCACTGAATTCCAGAAGAAACTCTCTTAATTAAATCTAGTCTACTGTTGCAGTCATGGGTATTGGAAGAACTTGTGATAATACATAGTCTTACAAAAAAGAGATAGTGTTAAAAGTATTTTTCTCTGGTAGGCTAACTTCATAGTTGGCTACAATTACTTGCCTTACTGAGGGTTAGTTCAGGTAACTTATGTATCTGTTATCAATATTATTGTGTTATTAAATGTGACCCTCTTAGGTTTGGACATCTGAAGGCCTCATGAATTTTAGTAAGATTGGACTGTGTGCAGCATAGGATTTTGGATTCTACTACTACATGTGCATGATTTCTCATGGAAAGCTCGGACATGAGCCCTGTTTTGAAAGTGATCTTTTTTTTTTTTTTTTTTTTTAACTGAAGAGGTACTGAAAATAATTTGTGCTCAGACAAGCTAGCAGTTTGTAGCTGATTCCATATCTGCCAGATATATACTATTAGCTATAGCTGCTGAGTTAGGAAACTTAGAATTGAGACCAATGAAGAGTCGGTCAAATATTTCTCAACACTTTCCTGCTACTACTCTTTTTTCTCTTCATTTTCATTTCATTAAAAAGATACAAGCATACAAAACATTTGCTGGATCTTGTAGAAAACTTGTTATACTACAAAAAGGAAAAATGCCATTTTGTCCTTATCAGCATTTTGAGAGTACATACAGCAAATGGTGCTGCCCATGCTGCAGATACAGCAATGAGCAAAGATGGAAACAAAATCATGCCTTTATCCCTGATCAAAACATTCATTCAACCAATTTGAGCTACTTCACAAGTAATTATTTTCTTTTTAAACTAGCACTCTGTCATAATTTCACAGAACATTGACCATATTAAAGTGTATTATACTGCCTTGAAAATTAATTTCTGCCAAACAAGCCTGCTTCCAGTGAGCTGCAGCTGGGCAGAACCCGTCCCTATTGTATTTTGTTTAAACACAATGGGTTTTTTAGTGCTTTTGTGTAGTTGTAGTTATCTTGGCAAAATCTGTAATTTGAAGCTTAGAGAGAATGGGTGCCCAATGTTTGAGATGTTAAGTCGGTTTTCCTTTCTACTGTAAAAGCGAAGACCGCACTCAAAAAGAAAAGTTTCTCTAAGGGGTGAGGACTGCAGGAGAAGAAACAGAAGAAGTGGCTGGGGGGTTAAAGCCGTGGGAGCTGCCTACAGTGCCCGGGGGCCTGAGCTGGCAGTGCAGAACGGTGTTGTGGAGCTCCACGGCTGGCTCCGAACCTGGAAAGGTCCCAGGGAGGCAGAGCCACGCTGGGGAGTCACAGAGCACCTTTGGGCATCAGCGCCTTGCAGCAAAGACCTGGAAGAGTTCACTGTGTGAAAAATCAGAAGAGTTCCTCTGCAATGTGCTGCTTTACGCACCTGATGAAGGTTACATACAGGACTGTAAGAAGCAGAAAATGCTGACGATTTGGGGAGCGTGCGGTTCTGTTTAGCGAATCCCACTGCGCTCTGGATGCTGCACACCCAGAGAGGGTAGAGTTTGGACCATTCAGATTATAACCAGGTATTATTTACAAGCAGGTTATGGAGTAAAAGAAACGCTTTTTTTCCTAAGGTTATTAATAGCTACTGAAGGAATATGTTGCTCTTTTTACTAGAATGGAAGAGAGAGTGTTTAAAAAAAAGGTCCACACTTCGTATGGGGAAATTTTCTTTGTTTTTAATTTACAGCAGAAAGAATATAAAGCATTCAGAAAACATTTTCCATATTTTAAGGGCAATTCAAAACATTTGCATGGTTCCAGCAGCTGAGTTCTTCAACAGATCCATTGATTCAGTGATGCTTTACATGCACGGTTACAAAAATAAAACTTACAAAAGAGAAGACATCTATACTAGTTTTACATGCAAGTCTTGGGGACCCCCCATTGGGCACCAACTGCTGTGTGGAACTGCCATAAGCGTGCAACCAGAGAGGGGGTTCATGTTATATTCTGTATTTCTGTCACACAGTATTACTGCTGTTGAGCGCGTTTCACAAAGGAGCAATTCCATTACCAGAAGACAGATCTGGCTCCTGGCACTTGGGAATGTGGATTTTCCCAGAAAGCTGCACTTACGTATCTTCTGTGAAAATGAAAGTTCCACAATCAAGAAAAGGGTGAGCAGAATCACTTCACTTCAGCGGGAGTCTTTTTAACTCACCAGTAATACACTGAAGGGTTATGACCTGACACAACAAAGCACTTAGAAGCTATACTTTACTTCAAGCATGCAAGTAGTTCTGTTGATCTTATGGAATTGCTTGCATGTTTAACAGTAAGTACATGCTTAAAACGTTTGGCTGAAGCAGGATCTAGATTAGTAGATACACCACCAGGCCCATGGATCTGGAAGAGTAATTGGAAATAGCTCTGTATATTACGGAATCGTTTCTGTATAAACATAGGGGGTTAAAATATTTCCAACTGAGGTCATTACTCTTGTTAGGAAAAGATTAATTCTATACTGTCACATACTGGTTAATGGGAGCAACATTTCGATTTCAAAATGGCAGAGTTCTTCCAGTAGTAATACAGAGCATTCCAGTTCATTCCAAAGGAGATTCTTCTGCAGTTCATGTTCTATTTTTTTGTGTGCGGAATATTTTATGTTTTAAGTCCTAATTCAATACAATAAATTGAGGCAATGAGGCTGCCGACAGCCACACTGTGAGAGCCGGACCATTCTTTCTATGTTTTGCCTCTTTTTTTCAATTTAGAACCAGGTCATAAAGCAGCAGTTCACAAATGTACAAGAGAATTCTGATAATGAGCTATAGCACATCTACTGTAATTCAATGCTGGCAGTGAAAAGAAGTAATTAAAAACAGGTACAATTATAGAAAAGGCACCAAGAGCACTGACCCCAGTTTTTTGCCACAATCTTTGTTTTTACTCTTCTTTTAAAGACACCAGTTTAAAAGCTTCTCACACGTTAATATTTTTAGGCTTCACAACAAGCCTTGCGTTTAAACATTGCAGTTGGTGGCCGGGATCAAGTAAGAACAACTATTCCAAAACTAACAACCTCAAATTTACACGAGTCCATTCAGAAATTTTAAACTGCCACTAGCAACACAAACATACAGGAGCAGTTTCTGATCTCAGACACATAGTAATCCACAATAACAACATGAGCCTCAGGAGTTACTTCCTTTACATTCCTGTGTAATTAAGATCAGACCCTGGCTCCTATTGGTGACGCTTTGTGACAGTTTTAAATGAGTATTTCAATTTTAAAAAATCTAATTTCTTTGGCTCCTCACTATGTGGAAATAGCAATATACCATGACACCCCTACAAGATCAGTTTGCATCTTTTTTAAGTTTTCCTTTTTTTTTTTTGTGCAATTTTTATTACATTTTCTGACTTCCAGCAGGAGATATGAAAATGTGAAACATATTTTCTACTTTCATACTATTTCTTTTTTTTTTTTCATTTTATATTCATTCTAAGTGTTCTTTATTGGAGTGAGTGTATGGTGTTAAGCTAGATACGGTTTTTGTACTCTTATGATTATCTGCTCTGCAAAAGTAACTTAATTTTCTTAAGCAATATTAGCATTCGCATTACTTGGCACCATTGGCAAAAAAAAAAAAAAAAAAAAGAAAAAAAAGAAAGGGGGGGGGAGAAGGAAGGAATAAGTAAAGGAAATTCAACCAAACCAAACTCCTGGTAGCCAAAATCAAATGTAAACATATCCTTTTTTTTTCTTTTTTTTTTTTTAAGTAATGTTGCTCTGCCTTTTTTTCCTAAGTCTAAATACAGTAGCTCTTTTTTTGCCATTTAGTCATGCTTTAGCAAAAATGTTCTTCTAAAGAACATTTAAAATAAAGTTTCTTATAGTGAAATAAAGTTTTTGTTTCATTTTACAGACCATAGCCACTAATGCTTTGCTTTTTTCATTTCTTTTTCTTGAGTTCATGCACATATCTCTTTGTTTTAATATATACAGTATGTACAAACAATACATCCACACTCTTCTCGTTCATTCAGACAAAACTATACAAATAATAATTTTATCTTGCCAAGTTATTGACCCTTTGTGAATAAAATATTTAGTAATTAATCAATATATTCCCTTTCAAATATTTTTTCTCATTTTCCATTTCTACCTTCTATATATACAGAAACTGCCCAGATTTTGATGAAATAGCCAAAATAAGAAATTTACTGGCCAGAATGCAGCACCACTCTGATCTTTAGGTGGTATAAAATGTCCAGGCAACATATGTTTGTGACTCTACAAAACGACAAGAGGCTTGACGGTCACTTAAGATAAAAAGCTACATGTTTTACAAATTAAGAACTTAATTAAAATAATAGTACATGAAAGTAAGGCTAGAAAATAAAGTGCTGAGTATGAGAAAAAAAGTATATGACAACTGATTTGCAGGTTCTAGTAAAAATACCAAAAAGAAACTTTTTAAAACTTGCTTAAGCTGCTCTCTCCATTTCTCATGCATTACCCGTTTATCTCATACATCAACCCCTTCTGTAAATTCCCACGGGATGTATTAAAAACCTGCAGATTTAAAAAGTTGCATTAAGTGTGCTGTAGAGATTTAAATAAAACACAAAGGACAGAAGTGCGAAGGAAATGAGGATGCATGGACCCAATAAAGATGTACTGATCTAAGCCCCTCCACTGAGACTCCCAAAGCTTCAGTTTCTTGGAGATGACTGACAGGTGCAGGAACAGCATTCTTGTGTTGCTTGTGCATTCCCACCTTTTCTTAACAATATTTTTGGTATAGTATTTGTACAGTTCCACATGTTGTTTAATACAGCCCTATATGAAAAGGATAATTAATCGCTTCTTCCTTCTTGGAGAATGAAGCAACTCACAATTTCTTCCTGGTGTCTTTTTTTTCCCCGTGATCCAACAGAAGATTGAGTTCCAAGATGTCTTGCTGAACAAATTAAAAGTTGTCCATGAAAGTGCAAATGCAATGACCAAAACATTACTGTTAAAATACTGCAGCTGATATTTCCAGAACTGCAGTGGGTATTTTTGTTGTTGTTGCATGTCTCTGCTAAAAACAGAAAATGAAAACAGTCTGAAAAGCAATGTCACATTGCTACGGGATGCTGCTGCGTATCTTCAAGTTCCTTGGCCTTTTTCAATTCTTTCACTCTGAAAAAACAAAGAGGAGCTATGTAACATTTCTATTCCAAAAACTTTAAAGGGAGCAAAAAATCAGAATGATTCCTCATTATAACCTCCACTGCAAAGAAGCTAACTCCCAGAGAATGACAAGAGGGCAATGTGTTCCTGACACCATAAACAGTTGGAAGTGCAAGGATGGGACAGTAGGAATCTGAGACAGAACACATTTGGAAGGATATACTAATTTCCAGCCACCATTTTTTCCTGATTTTATATGTATGTATGTATGTATGTCTGTGTGTGTGTGTGTGTGTGTGTGTGTGTGTATGTGTGTGTATGTATGTGAGTATGTGTATATGCATGTATATTTAACTACAGTTTGATTTCATTCTGGTATTAAATTGTCCTATTTAATTGCTTGGGATTTTTTGGACTGCTTTTCATTGACTGATTTTGCTGCTGCCTCCTACTCCAGCTGTTATGGCTAAGTGTTAACCTATTTTCTCTCTCCACAGATCACTGAAGCATGGACGATATTCTGTTGTGCCAAGCACAGTGGGGAAAATCAGTCATTCAGACTTACACGGAAAAGCTTGATGCTGGTTGATACAGTATCTCACATTAAGAGAGTGTTTACACAGGTAAAAGGTAAACTGGCAGGTAAAAGGAACTGGTATCAGCGTGAGCAAGGAAGATAATTTATATCTTCATACTTGTTCCAGCTGGTAGCAGCTGTATTTTCTGGAATGTTACTGGTAGTAGATAGATATTTTTTTCATAGCCAGTGGTGGCAGACACTGCCTGCCAAGTGGGATGGGGCCTCTACGTGGAAGAATTACTCTCCCTAAATGTGGCATGATGCAAGACTAAAATATGTGTGATGCACTACCTCCTCTAGCACTTGTTAGCATCAGTAGTAAATCATCATTGCAAGGTGAAATACACTCATAAATAAAAAAAAATTAAGAGAAGGGAAGGATTTCAAATCCATCAAATAAAGTAGAAATTTCTGTCAGTGCTGGAGGAGCAGCAGCTATCCCCAGCTCAGGCTGACAAACTGGCTGCACATCTGTGAAGGCTCCCTGCAAAGGAGCCAAAAGAAATCTGCAGAGATTTTCCACGCTGCCGCTAACCCTGAAGGTGGGTGCCCAGCTGGAGGCTGGGCTTGGGGCACCTGGACTTTGCTTCCCCTTGCAGGGAGCTCCTTTCTGTGGCACAATCCCTTTCCCTGTACTGTGTCCTTCCTTGCAATTCCTGCTCCCCAAACAAAGCCCTACTGTCACAGGAGGGCACGACAGGGTTGTCTTAATCCTGAACTAGAGATGCACTTGCTTGCTACTAAATAGGACTCCACAGAAAGTACAATCTGGATTTTTTTTTAAATGATGAAACATAACTTATTTACCCTTTCAGATATTTGTAGATGCACTTCCATGCTGTTAAGAACAAACAGCAAGTTAAACAGAGAAGGCACACACATTCCGTTGGAATAAGCATCAGGCTCACTTCTGGGAAAAAGCCACTTGCCTCCACATCTTTCTTCCATTACTGTGAGGGAAGACCCACCCCAAAAGGAGTAACATAGGGCCTAAATTAAAGTGATTTAGCAGAGCATGTACATGCTCAGCTGATCTAGCCGCAACTTGAAAGGACAAATGACAAAAGTACGGTACAAAGAATTGTGTCACAGCTGCAAATCTGTGTAACAGAATCCAACTAAAAAGGGAGTGAATGTAGCAAAGCTAAAGTAAATGTAGTTTAGATACTAAAAGGTGTCAGGAGAGGTAAGCACCAGCAATGCTATTGTGTAGCTTCTCTAAGTAGGTGTCTAGTCATACATCATCTTTTGGCTCTTAGGCTAACTCGCCAGCATATGGGTATGATGAAGGCTGTATAACTGACCTCTGCACGTGGCCCTACACATACATTTCACTGGTTCACTTACTTTTTTTCTGCATACAGTACTACCTAGAATCACAGTCCAAAAAAAGAGCTGGCTGCTTTAAACTCTTGTTTTAGCCCACTCAAAGGTAACGCTCAAGGGTATTCTCTTAGCTTACGAAACTAGGGGGAACAGGAGTCAATGAATGAATCACACTAACCGATAAGCGTAATATCAGACCTTTGCTAATCATCTTGATTCTACTGAACTGTTTGAGAATATCATGTTTGGAAAGACAGAGGGCTTTGCTAGTCCGAATGCACATGTCATTTTTCAGCGCTTGAAGCCTTACATCCAAGGGGCTACGAGACGCCTCTGAAATCCCAGAGTCAGTAGTTTCACTCTCTGCTCCGAGTCAGGCAGAGGGGGTGTCTCAATAAAGCTCTCCCAGACTCTGGGAAGCGCTCTGATCCCCAGGCTGATGAGGGGGCAAGAAAGCACAACCATTTCTGAATTTCTACTGGGGTAGTGCTGTCCTGAGCTTAAATTCCTTTTACAGCTTTAGTTTCTGTAGTGAAATTCTAGCTCTACCCATGTCAGTGCCTAAAAGAACCTTGCTGATGTCCAGGGAGCCAGGACTTCAACATCTCACAGACATATTGTTATGTTACCTGCTTGGTAAGTCCACATCATCCTTTCATTACAGAAAACAGATGAGGACGGGTACAGTGAATAGAAGATGCTCGCAAATGACACAGACAAATTGAACTTCTAAAGTATATTTAGTTTTCTTTTTTTCTTGCAGCAGAAGAGAAGCCTCTCTCCTGAAATTGTTACCAATATTTCTATTACTGCAGCACACAGAGTCAGAAGTTGAGCCAAGATCCCTGCTGTGCTGGAAAAATGCGTGCATCTGTGCACTAAGTCATTTTTAATGTTGAGACTAACTATACATATGTTAAAGACAACATCTACTAATGCATGATTTGCAGTGCAACTTCCAAGTGTTTCCTGTTGCACTTCAATACTATAATGTAAAATTAACCTGGTATTCCAGATCTCTTACCGAGAACATGCACATTAGATAAGCTGGTGGCTCTTCCACTGAGACATGCTATGTCTTTGTTTAGCACTTCAACATGCAAGGTCTACACTAACACAGCACTTCTGCTGGAAGAATGCAAGACATGCTTTGCTGCAAACTTCAACCTACAGCATGCAGTATCTGTACTGGTGCAGACCTAGTGAATCTGTTTAGCTGGAACATACATGCCAATGGAAATTAACTACTACGGCACTCAACATTTGCCCTAGTACAAATCCCATTCACCAACGTGCAGTGCCTTCCTTGGTCAAATGTACTTTACAGTGGTTTACAGATTTTCAGCTTTGTAAAAAATTTGCAAGTGCAATGATAATTATCACTTAAAAACATAAGGGCATACCAGTACTGAATTTACCTAACATTAAAGTTACAGGCTTTGGAATTTGTCATGGGTACATTAGCAAAAGACACAACTTAAGTCTACAACTGCTGGAAATAAACCATATATTCCACAGCACTGGTAAACTAGCTTCAAGATGATGGCCATCCAAAGTTATTAAGCTACCACATTTTTATTAGACTAACCTCTCTGTTTAGTACACATAATCATGCATGTGACACTAAAAATGGGAGCGCAGGTAGGTACAAGGAGTCATCTCCTTCTACAATACACTGCAAAGCGGGTATGAAAACCTGCAGTCTGCTGCTGACAGCCTCTCACGTTTGCTCAGCAGAGCGAGGTCAGAGGAAGCCCTAGGCTGGCACCAAGAGGCTGGAAAAGGCTTGCCCTTCTCCCAGCAGCAAGCCCAAGGCAGCTTAATTGCAGGACCTGTGGTGAAGCACAGCCAGAGCAGACTTGAAATACCTCTAACTGATACTAGTAATTTTGCAAATTCATGGCTAGACTAACACTTGGGAAGCACTGAAGTATTTTAAAGGCCCTGCTTCTCCCCCAAACCAGTGCTAAACACGAAGTGCCAGAACCAGTGTATTCATTAAGCTACACACAAGACCAAGGCTATCTGCTTAATTCATCACTTAAAATAATTGTGTTTTTAAACAGCCCACTGAATTGCTTTACCAAGATAACCTAACACTGGTGTTTTCAACCAATTAATTCTTCATTGGATAGCCTGTGCTGTAGCCTTTCCTGTGTTTTAAAGAACGCACAAGCTTTTAGTTCTCATTTAACACCTTTTTCTTTTTGAGGAAGCTTCTTGCTCAGTGGCACTTCGATTTGATTTTGTAACAGCAATAGAAAGTGTCAGTATGAGCGTGGGGTAGGTATCGTCTCTTTAGTAATGCTCAGTGTAATAATAAAAAAAAAAAAAGCTAAAACAAAACAAAACCCCAAACCTCAAATGAAGTTTTCATATGTAGCTACATATGATTTGACAAGGGAAATTTTTCTGACACGTTATCACCCTTGAAAATAGAAATTCACTGAGT